CTTGCCGGTCCCTTTCGAAGAGTATTCCTTTATTATCAAAAAGACCAGGTACTTTTTAATAATTTTAACGCAGATAAAAACCATACCATCTCGGGTACCCTCCCCTCATCCAGTTCCAACTCACCGCCACCTATGCCTTCGGGGTTAGACGCTAGAGGTTGGGCGATGGGTTGAGCAGCGGTATCAGGGCAGCATCTCGTGCTCCTCGCAAATATTTCCCCTCCGGGAGACCGGTCTCCTAGAAAGCTTCCCCCCTTCTCGGGGTAGAGCTCCACTAGGCTGTCAAATTTGGGGGTGGAACTGGAATCACAGACACACACACATACGAGCAAAATGACTCGAGATGTCTGTCTATGTGTACGCGAGAGGGGAATGTTGGAAAATCTGTAATGCGACCGAGCATGACGGGGAACGGAAGGTCAACATTGGTTATGGCATTGGTGCAAAAAGAGGGTGTGAATAAGGAATGGAAGGGACTATCGTAAGATTTGCATAAATAATATGGCTTGACCTTAAAGAGGTGTAATAGAAAACGATATTGCCTGACTTTTGACAACCTTTAAAGGCACATGGAAGGCAAGATTCTACCTCCTAAATCTTCGGAAATCCTCTCAGACCTAGAAAAAGGTCAAAATCAATACAAATTTTTCCAGCTATTTGAAATTCCCAATTTTCTGCAACCTGAAAGGAACAACTGAGGCAAATATCCCTTTTTCCGGATGCTTGATATCCTCAAAAACTCTAAAAAATGTTACCAATAAAGTTAGAACCCCCAAACTCCATCTCTCGATGCCACCAAAAATAGTGTAAAAACGTGATAACCGAGTCACCTTTTCTAATATCGCAATCTCCACCTCCATCTCCCCGAGAATCTAAAGGTTAAAAGCCCTCACCCCTCGACCCCAGGGGGTCAACGCAAGAGCTATGAAACTGCTCAGAAATGAAAGAGGGTCCGGATTGAGGGGGTTTTGGGGTGGGCAAGAATCCCATAAACACCACAACACTACTCCTTACATTTCTATCTATTCATAATATTGATGAGTCATTGTGGGCCCTTAGCGCGGGCTCGCGTGACTCGCGACGTGTCGTACTCATGCACCACCAAATTTCGGAAGGGGAGGAGGAAGAAGGCTATGAATTTGGAAAGGGATTTGTTGTTGGGGTTGGTTTGTTGGGGGTTAGAATTAGAAAGTACTAAATGGGATGAGCAGGCGAGCTTGGGCTTAGGCTTAGCTTAGGCTTGGGCTTCGGCATATGCTTAGGCTTAGGCTTAGGCTTAGACTTAGGCTTAGGTTTCGCTTAGGCTTAGGCTTAAGCTCGGACTCAGGCTCATGCTTAGGTCAGGCTGGCTTAGGCTTAGTCCTAAGATTCTTCAAAATTAGTCCAATTTGTCAATACAGCTTGAGACCACCGAAAACTTTATCTCAATTTTCCCGCCAATGCCGTACAGCCAAGAACCTACCGATTCCGGGCTAGCTGCCGGCTTATCAGTAAAATTCAATGGGGGAGAGCCGCCATTGGTTGGCGATCAACCCGGGGCCAGGGAGTCGAGATAACTGGTTTACCGCATGGCGGGGCTAGGTTACGGTAGTGCGGCAAGAAGTGTTTGATGGAATTTTTTCCTAGGCTTATTTTCGCTTCTCCGGTTTCTTCAAAATAACACATAATTCCAGAAATAAAGCTTACTCTCCACCCCGTTAACCCAGTTGAAGCTCAAGCTCAAGCTCACCACCGCTGTTGCAAGTTGTGCGAGCATACCCCTCAGGTGATCTATCGAATTAGCATTCCCCCCCCCCACCCGCGGGGTGTTAGGGCCTAAATTCCGGGGTGTTAGGTGCATGCCGGATTGAAAGTGTAAAATTGTTGGGGTGGGGTATGGATGTGGAGGGGCCCCGGTGTGGCGCTTAGGGTTTGTGTATGTGTGTGTGCGTGTGCTTGATTCGAACTAGGTAGGTCAGCTGTTTAGCTTGGACTGGGGTTGGGTGAGGGCCTTTTCGATTGGATCGTGGCCAACTTGTCCTTGTCTGGGGAGCTCGAGCTCAGGGGGGTTGGCGGTAAAAATAGATGGATAGGGTTTGGGAATGAGGAGGAAGGTAAAAACAACATGGATTGATGAAAAAATTGAGGGGTTAAAGGGATTGAGAAGGTCGCACAGGCTTAGGCTTAGGCTTGGCTTAGGCTTAGGCTTGGTTTAGCTTAGGCTTAGGCTTCCTGACACCCTAAATAAAATAAAAATATTGTATCTGAGATATAGTAAGACGAGGATCAATATAAAACCCAAAACAAGTAGTAACCCCCTTCCCAACCCTGCCTACAACTTGCCTACCCTCTGACCCCGCCCCCCATTGGCAACAATTCATTGATAAGGGCATCGATTAGACACAGACAAACGGTATGCGAGGTATCGAATCATATTTCGGCGAGTTCAGAACCCTGGAAACGAACCCGGGCCTCGAATCATTCTACTCTGAAACTCGCGCTCAATGCCATTCTATGGCACAATAGCTGAAGCCACGAATCAAAATTCGGGATTCCTTTTTTGCCGGTACTGCCCAGTCGAACGAGTTCGCCAAAAAATGGAGGGGGCATTGGGTGAAAATTAAAATGCTGTCAAACTGACCGGTGTCACGGCTCGATAAAACGGGATCAAAATTGAGGGGAAATTGGTGTTGAGAATAATAATTCAAAAAATTAGAACCGTTTAAATTCTAAAACATGTGTTGATACTATACTAATTAGACTGCTAGGGGCTACTACGGTAATTGATTGATCGGGGGGCCCGCACGGGGTACAACGGGTTGTGATAGCATTTCGGGGAAAGGCGCCAGGTTTTGATAAGAGTAATGGGCGAAATGGTGGATATTTGCTCGACGAGTTGTGCCAAAAGATATCGGAATTATGAGTTGGTAATATTCAAAATTATTTTGTGATTTAAGGCTAGTGGAGGTCAGCATTAATGGCAACAGGAAAAATAGATAGAAAAACAAAAAGTTCCGTTTTAAAAGGGTTGGTAATGCAAAAAAATGATTAGGTAACACGCTTACGATATTACCTGAAAACGGGGTTATCACTTAGTTTTAAAGGGATGGGCAAGCGTAGAAAGAAAGAGCCGCCGAAAAGAGTTTGACGTAGTTTTAAAGGGACTAACAAGGTAAACTCTATATGTAATAAATAGGATCTGATGCTTTTAAGAGCCGCCAAAAAAACGATATTACCGCGTTTTAAAGGGACTAGCAAGATAAGCCAGTAAAAATCAGATTCGGGTTTCGCATGCAAATCACCCCACCCAATCCCGCGTCCAGTAAGCTAGTAGAATGGTGCACCTATCTACTACGGAGCTACTACTCATTCCGTCTCATCAGCCGGCCCTAACAACATTTTGTGAGTAGCCCGCTACCCTCTTCCGGAAGGCCCACCACCAACTTCACCGCCTCCCACGGGACCATGCCACCTCTTGCATACACCGCATACAATGTGAAAGCGCGGACAAAGATGCCTAGAATTTTTGGATTTAAAGTTTAGAGAAATCGCAATTTTTTTGAAGCTTCGGAGCGATTTGGAGATTTTACAAAAACTTAGATGTCAATTTTGAGTTGGCGGTCCCTTAAAAAAATCCTGTCTGTTTTCAAGAAACGATAAAACAACTAGTTTCAGAATTTTTCTGACTACCTTAGACTTTGTGGTCCCTTTAAATGCTTCAAAAACTGGTTAGCGGTTTCAGCAGGCTTCGGAAGTTCTGAATTCTGAAGCTGCAGGCTGCTTAATTTGCAAGCGATTCTTAGACGTTGTGAAGATCAAATTTTGACTTGCCAGTCCCTTTAAAGGGGTGGGCCGTTTTTACCATTTTTAAAGGGACTGTAAATTCAAATCTTGTTGCTGAACGCATCAATTCGTCAGAATCGTTATTGTTTGCAAAAAGGTTTGAATTTAAAGTCCCTTTAAAAGTTTAGATAGCTACACGAGAGGTGAAAACAGAAGTAAAAATTCGCAAAAGTTTTCCAAACAATCCCACCCTCCCCAAAGTCAATTCAATGAAACCGCAGTCGAATGTCACTCCCCCCCCCCATCGCTTTCTGGGCCATTCGGGGGCTGTAAATGGGGAGGGCCAACCAAGAAGAAGGAGTAGTATATGGTTGAGGGCGGCTGGGGCGGGGGAGGGGGTGTTCCTCAAAGGAGGAGGACATCGCTCATTAGATATGCCTTCCACCCCCGACTTCGAGCACCAATGATACATCATCGCAGCTTCGGCCTTGTCTTACCAAGTGGCAACCCAGCAGTCGACGTGATAGAAACACTAGGGATGGACGGAGAATGGGTGGAAGATTGCGTATTTCTGAAAACTGAAAATTCACAATTCCAGCATTCCGAAAATCACAATTTCGAAAATTTTGCATTCCATTGCCACCCTATTGCGGCCGTTTCCCAGCCATTTTTTTGACATTCAGATTTTCGAAAAAATGTTTTCCGGATAAATGTTCTAAATAAAAGTATTTACAAATTCAAAAATTTGCAATAAACTGTCGACTTCATACTGTCGAAATGGCAAAATGTCGACATTTTCTCGTATTTGTGGAGGTTTCCAGCAGTCTTAAATTTCGGCATTATCAATTTCGACATTTTAATACCGAGAGGCTTAAAATTACCGAGCCTACTTTCAGGGATCAAGACACCTAAAGATCAGCTTCTACTCTGTAAACAGAATTTCTAGTGAAACTTTGGCCTATACAACGCTCCAAATGACGTTTTTAACACAGACAGTCAATTTGTTACATAGATATTGGTTTCAACCCGCTTCACCACAATAACATTTTCTTACCGACGACCCTGGAAACATTGCGGACTTTCTCGAAGCTCTCTGCCTCTGTTTACACTGTCGCAACGCGCCGATCCCAGGATTTGGCCCTTTGCCAGCTTCACCCAAAAGCTCAGCTGCGAAATTGGCAAAACAACGTTAACCCTATTAAAATCAGCTAAAACTAAAATCAGCTGGAGCTTTTCTAATGCTCACTTCACTCCCATATACTATTCTTGATCAAGTCATCCAGTTATTGGACAGAGATGACGTCGGTAATTGTCGACAGGTCAACCGAGGCTTACGAAGGTATATCCCCCAAAAATATCATAAAAATCTTCTATTTTGCTTTTAGATTTATCGACACAAATCGACATCACTATCCCTTGCCTCCAATAACTTTAGAAATTTCGATTGACGGCATTTTTCGCACGGTAAGTCGAAAAACATGCTTTAACAACTTTCCAGGGCGTCAAAATCACCAAAACTTCCGATTGGACGGGTGCTAAACAAATCGTGATACTCTCCCAAATGGTAAGAAACAGGATTAAACGCATATACTTATTTATTACCTTCATAGCGTGATCTAAACATTGACTCTATGTGGAAAGAGTTTCTACGGATGGTTGGAATTGACGAGGGAGAGCTCGAAGACGAGGAAAACGACACCGATGAAGAAGAATCTCAACCGGAAGCCGGCCAATCCGCAGAGCCAAAAGTAAAATATAAACTAGATCCCAAAATCCTTAGGTTGACGAGAGAAACGCAGGAAATGCGCTAATTTTTGCCCAATTCTTTGGCGATGATGACGATAAGAAGCCGAAATTATTGAATGTTTCATCAATTTCAGGTCTCGAAAATATAAAAAGAATTCTTCTATTCTTATAAGCTTCTAGATTCAATCGGATCGCTTTTTACGGGGATTTTCTCGCGTTTTTTCGTCACAACACTGAAAATCAGTGAAGTACCGGATGAAATATTCGCGGGAATAGTGCTGGCAGAGGTGCAGAAAGTTCGGCAACTCGTTTCTCGACTTGAAATTGAGATGCGGGATTCGCAGGAAGTATATAATACTATAAGAATATGTAAAAATGGCTAATTTTCAGATAGGCTCGATCCTGGAGTTGATTTCTTACACTCGACCCTACGAGTTGAAGTTCCAGGCGATTGAGATTCGGGTAAAACCCACAGTTTTCAAAAATATTCATATTCTTTAGGACATAGAAAAGGTTCTCACACTGCCAATTGTGGCCGAGTGCTCGAGTATAGATTTTGACCTGGATACTGACGACATTCCGACGGCCACGAGGACCGAGGTAGCTAGATTTGTTTAGAAACCTAAAAGGGAACACTTCGAGGTTTTTCTGCAGCTTAAATGCGCTCATTTGAATTTGCCAATCACTACAACCTTGGACTCGACGACGCTGAATTTTATTCTAAAGGAATGGGTGACCAAAAAGCGTGATTTTAAAGACCTCGAGGCATGGGAGCTGTTTGGGACGGCGAACTTCGACCCGGCCATTGTATTCGATGGCAAGTTTGACAATATCGTACCCAAATGTGGGCTTTATTTCAGGCGTACCATGCCAAAAATACACTGCCAGGAGCCCGAGAGCTTCTATGCCGTCAACAATATATTACAAGTGAGTTTCAGCGTAGAAACGGCTGGTAATACTTCCATTATAGGATATCCCGTGGCTACGAGTTCTTGACAGTGTTCGTCAAGGGAACGGCGCTGTTGATCAATCATCCTATAGAATATATGTTGTCCATCGGGGCCATGTTTCCGGGATAAATTAAAGCCTTTTAATGAAATGAGAAACTGGGGTAACATCTATTTTTAATATTTTACATTACTGTTGGATTTCGCGAGTTCCGTCGATCAAACGGCAAAAAATATAATACGATAACTATTCCCACTATAAAAGTTTTGCATCTTAAAAACTATGTGAAAATGAAACCACAGGACAACGGGGGAACCTATTTCCGAAATTTTGAAAAATGCGACTCGAATGAGGGCTAAATAATAAACTGCTTTTATGGCCCGAAAAACCACATGTATAAAACTATACTATATAAAAACTTTAATTCCATCGTGTAAGCTCATGCCTATAATGGGGTCCATTTCCTCGTCAAAAGCTCAGTGACCGAACAATAACTCAAAGCTTTATTCATTTGAAACAGTCGTTTGACAAGAAAACACCGGTGTGGGGCAAATAGGTGGTAGACGTGGAGGAAACAATGCCGAACTAAAAAAAGCAAAGAACATTCGAATGGGGGCCAGTTTTTGAAAAGAATAAGGAGTAAGAAGAAAGTAGAGTCAAATCAGACCCGGATGATCCACATTAAAAAGAGTTCTCGATGAATTTGAAAACGAGGGCTTATTGTGGGGGCGGCTGTTGCTGCGGTGGCTGATGATATTGCTGTTGAGGGTAGGGCTGCTGTGCTCCTTGAGGCGGTGGTGGGTAGCCGGAGTACATTGGCGCCTGGAAATGAATATTATTAACAAAAATATAACTGCATTAAAACTGCTTCAAAACTGCTTCAAAACTGCTTCCAGTTTGAAGCTTAAAAAACCCACTCCGTAAGCACCAGGGTACGTCGGGTAGGGCATTCCGTAGTTGTACATCATCGGCTGGGGCTGGCCTGTAAAAGCGTAAGTTAATAATTATTTAATAGAGATACCGTAAGGGACAGCATGGTTGTAGTAGGGCGGCATCTGAGGCGCGGCCACTGGAGCAGCCATTGGCTGGCTAGCCGGAGCAGTGGGGGTGGGTGCAGCTAAAAAAAAATTGAGGTTACTTGTCAATAACTGTAATTTACCATGATTGGGGGCAATGTTTCGAGGAGGAGGAATCGGGGATTCAACGTCATCTTCGAACGGATTTCTACCTATAAAAAGAAGGTTATCGTTAGCGACAGAAAAAACACTGTTTAACGATTAACATTGAGGTTTAGTGAAACTTACTAGCAGCAGACCTGGGTGGGGGCGGGCGAGGGGGAGGTGCAGCTCCGGATCCGGACGAGGCGCCTCCACCGCCGCCAATAATGTTCTGCTGCACTTGTTTCATCAAGTCCTCCTTTTCAGTCTTGCGAGCAAAGACGAAGTCGTTGATCTTCGATTGCATCTTGACGAGGATCGGCGTCAGGTCGTTGTAGAACTATAAAACAGGTCATTAGTTAGTACCATACTTCCTCTATTACAGCCCCGGCGGTTATATTTTTCAATCAGCCCCGATGCGGGGTTGAATTTGAGCGGGGGCTATATTTTTTTTGTCATTTTTAGCACGTAAATAGCTGTTTTTTGCAGTTCAGCATCATAAAGGAAAGCCTAAACAGAAATATTTTTCCAAGTTTTTGATGCTTAAACGCAATTAAACGCTTTCGAGAACATTTTTTGGGGTTTATACTGGGGCGGGGCTAAAATAGAGGAAATACAATATTCAAACCCTTTATTAGTACCTTGGTTCCTTCCTCGAGGTTCGATTTCAGCTCAATGAAAGCATCATGGCCACAGGCCAGCGTCTTCAGCACACGCTCGCGTTCAGCGCCAGCGGCCGATCCCTGCTTTTCGCCCATAAATTTGTTGTTCCACGTCTAAAGAATTCTATATTCTCGGAAATGATTGAAAATCCCATACCTGCACTTGTTCCATGATTTGATCTTGTCGCTGCAGAGAAGCGGCAATCTTCTCACGAATCGGGCCATAGATCTGCTGCAGCTTCTCGCGCGAAATTTGTTCTTCGTTGAGAAGTTGGCTATCTGAATGCAAAACATATAATAGTAAAAATTAAATAATTTCGAACCTGACAAAGCCTGCAGGAAATCATTGGCAATGTCGCAAGTCACCGATTTCAGCTCCTTCTCGAGGCGTTCACGTTCAACCTAGGAATTTCAGTAATTAGTAGCCAAACGCAATGCATACCTTGATTTCTTGAACCTCCTGCATGAGACGGCGGAGGTTGGTGACAGCTTCGCTTGAACTACCGGTTCCATGGGAGGCTTGGCCAGGTATCGATGCCTTGAGTTCGGGCTAAAAATTATTATGTGGAATTTTTTTTAACATGTTTCTTGGTTGTGTTAATTGACTTCAGGTCACGTTTCCTAAACCCAGTTTTCCTAAAGCCGGGAAAAACTGTTTTGACGAAAATTACGGCATCTTTCTAAATCTATGCAGTAACAAAAGCTTTTTGGGACGTACATTTGGATCTACGTACAAACACGCACAAAATTTCCGTGGTTTTCAATGCCGATCCAAAATGACAACAGTAAACAGGTTACAACATTTCTCTGGAATTTTTGAAATGGTTATCAGGTGATGGAAAGGGGTTCAGCGTTAGAATCGGAAATAATCAACAAGAACCTCGGAGGTTCAACCTCCTTTTAGGAAATGCCCGTCATCAGTCGTAATTCAACTAGAACGAACCTCATTTTTCGACAACAGCGCTATTCCGGCCTGGTTGTCCTGGAACTTCTTCTTGACCATCTGATCAGCGTTGGTGGCGGTATGCAAGATTCCGCGATATTTTCCAATTTCCTGAAGCAATTTGTAACGAACGGGTTGGATTTACCTGAATCAAAGGACCGGTGAGGTGTTCGCTGCTCGTGCGTGTCCACTTCGCTCCGAATTGGCTACGCAAGTTGTTATCGTTGTCTTTTTCTTCCTTCAGAGCACGTTCAGTCTGTAAAAAAACCGTAATCACTAACTTTCAGAACCAATTTTACCTCATCAAGAATTTCTTGGTTTCGCTTGTAGAGGGCGGGCAGTTCGGCGAAAAGCCGATTCAGGTCGTCAATACCTCCGGCTTGTTTGACCTGAAAATACAACGTATAGAACAGCAAAATAACAATTCAGACCTTTGCACTCTTTTGACGTATCGATTCTGGGAGCGTATCCGATGAAGCCACGTCATCAAGAGCAGCGGGCAAATTCAGCGATGCCAAAACGCTGAAAATAACATCATAGACATTTAGTGGTGTAAAAAGAATAGAGTGCAGGATACCAACCCGTTCATCAGCTGCGTATGCTCACGCATACGTCCATTCTCCATACTAAGCAGCTCGCCGCGGCGTGTTTCATAGACTTGCATGGCGTTGTGCACTTGAACCGGGACTAAGGAGGCGAACATGTCTGAAATAAGGTTATAAAGAACTATCTGAAAAACGCACCTTTAAACCTAGGGCTCATCGGATGTTCCACAGGTGTCGGCTTGGCAAGAATATGGCCTTGCAGAGGCGGCAAAGTACGAAACTCTGGCACACGCTCGTGATACTAAAACGGACTTTATAAATTCGGTACTGTTCTATTTCGAGCGGCGGAAAAACTGTACAGGGGAGGTTGATGTAAGCTACTTCTTTTTCTATAGCTATTTTATAATAACGTTTAATTGTATTTGCAATAACTATTCTATATTACTCTGTTTTGAGTTGAAATTAAAACTCTTAGGATAGTTTTTGATGCTCTATCGCATGGTGTCTCTAAAAATTAAAAAACTGGGTTTTTTTTTGTTCGCACTAGCTTTTTTATATTACAAGATTTTGAGCCAAAACAAAAACTCTTAGGATATTGTTTTGATCCTCTATCGAATGGCATTGCGAAAATCCCAAGAAAATAGCGAAAAAGTCGAAGTTCTGCCCAGGCAAATCCCCCCGAACAGTTTCCCCCCTGCTAGAAATAGAACAGAACCATAAATTCCATCGGAAACTCTGATTTGGGAACTTTCAATAAAAGGCTTACAATAAAATCGTTGTCTTTCTTCGCCGCGGTCAAAGCCTTTGGTATCAGCGCCATCTGTTCGTCAAGTGCTCCGCCCAGGTATTTCGTGGCTTGTTGGGAAAGCTGAAAAAGCCGTTTTTTGGATTCACAGTTAGCCCTACGCGTTGCGCCTCTGTCAGACGGGCGATTTGCTCGCCAACTTTCTTTTCGTCCTCACAAACTTGGGCTTGGTGGTACTGGGCCAACGCCTGGTAGGCCAACATCTTGCCAGTGACCGTGTTCAGCCATTCCTAAAGCGAAGAGTCATTTTTTTCACAAGGAATCTATACCTTTTCCCATAGTCCCTTCACCGTATCTCTGCACATAGCCTTGTAGGCCTGATCGTAAAAATCGTTGGCCTGAGCACCGATTTTCACAAGCGCGCTGGCCTTCATCTTGTCTAAATGCATTTTGCCGGGGATTAATTTAAGAAAACGCGTCGTTAGCGTTAAAAATCGTCTCACCGGTATATGCCTTGATATACATAACTTCTTGCGCTTGCGCAACCATCAACGCCGACAACGCTGACAGGGTGTCCGGCATCAAATCGGGGGTCGGATCTTCTTGAAGCATTCCGAGAATCCTCTGCGCGAGCTGTTCAAAAACACCGGCGGCGCGGCGATACAGCAAAGCAGCAGCCCTGATGTCCTCGTCTAGTTTCAACGGCTGAGCACCAGCAATCTGTAAAATGGGTCGTTTGCGAGCGTTTCCCCCAAATATTCGTTTCTCAACCTAATAATACTGAACAAACCGAACCTGACTCATCAACGCGCCGCAGTTAAAAAGAACGGAAGCACGTTCAAACGCGCCGTCCGAAAGCGACAGCGACGCCTTGTTGAAGAAAATGCCGCCTTTGTCGAACGCATCCTTCCATTTGAAAACGACGGGATTTTGCGTCGCGGAGATGATGATCTTGTTCTCAATCGCGACTAGCTGGTCATAGTATCTAAAAAAGGAGATTTTACATATATACATTTTTCTACCTCGTTAACACATCGAGGGCTGACTGATGCTTGTCCATCGGCGAACAGACGGCCTTCGCGCGGAGCCGATGAAGCTCGAGAACCGCCTCCGAAACCTGCAAACTGATTGGGCAAAATCACTCAAAAAATACCTCTGCCCGATTGTCTTCATTCGTGTTGTACACCGATTCGATATATGTTGTCAATGGCTTCACCAGATCGACGTCGCTCGTTGTTTTGAGTGGAACTGCGAGGAACGCCATCTGAAATGGTGGGAGATTATGACGACGGGGAAGAAGGAGATCAGATAATTTCATTGCAGCAGAAAAACACCAGAAAGGTGTCGAAATCAACCCAGAGGACCGGTGAAGGGCGCTAGCCGCAAAAATTTGGGCTTTATTGAGAGAGCGCATCATTGCCTGCTTAAAATCTACTTCTATTGAGGACATAGGGTATTTTTAAGTGCAGCACTCGGTGGATGCGGGGCGCTATGTGACGGGGGATTGGCAGGTTGTTGTTTTCACCGCCGCGAAAGGCCTCCGATCGATGGGAGGGGTAAATAATTGCGTAAGCACGACCGCGATCGGGGAGAAGCTACGCTAGCTAAGCTTGGAATTTGAAGATCAATGGAGGGTGGGAAACGCAAAACGCGCCGGCCAGGAATAATGAAATGACCATGACGCGCCCGCGAAATATCCCAGCACAATGGTGAGTCAGCAGAGCGAGAGATCATCTGGGGTTGGAGACGCAGACCTCCAAGGCATACGACTTCGCCCGCAAATAATCAGCTGCACGCAACAACCGACTGATAAAAGAACTGGGAAAAAACAAAATCGATGAAATCATCGATTCAACGTAGCGCCCTTCTTCTATCAAACAATATATTTGTCATTGTCTTAAAACGCACAACTTTTCTGCGTCTGTAACTACATTCTTTCACAAAGCGGCGCGGCGGCCAAAAGTTGCGTTGTATCTAGAAGCTGTAAAATACCGATTTCGCGGATTTCAAAGGGGCCTGGGATTAAGAATAAAGTAATTTAATATTATAAATGCCTTTCTAACCAAAGAATCGAGAGATCATAAGCTCAAGAAGGTAACTATTGTTGGGAGCTTCGGGGCGAAAGAGAAAATGGGGGTCGGGCGTGTCTATTAGTGCGCCAACGCCTGACACCTGCACTCGCGTTCCACAGGTAGGCATTTGTATCGCACGTCCATAACTTCACACGCAATTCGTCCATCCATTTTGAAAACTCGCCATTCGCGCTTTATCTTCGTTGCTTTAATCTAGAATTTTGACATTAGCCCTTTCATTTCTGAACACTGAATTGCGCCATTCGTCCTCCTTTTCGATTGTTCATTTCGCAATTTCGCCATCCGGGCTTTCTTTTCGTTTCTTCATTCTTTTCGTCAATTCTTCCTGAGCTTGTTTAACCTTTAGCTTACGTTCAACTTTCCTAAGTTCTATAATTTAGATAGGTTGCAGTAGTTGCAGCCTTAAAGCTTTCAAATGCTCCATAATAAATTTACAAGAATCTTTGGATCGACCACCGGCTCTAAAAACTTTTAAATCTAGCGTAACGTTCATTCTGGATGTATTACTTCTTTATACCTGCATTCAGCGCTCAAGAAACCTATTAATTTATTTGCGAAAGATCAAATAACAAATTTGGAGCATAACAAGTTAGTAATTGAGTTACTGCAAAACTTTAAAGAATTCGTCTGGACAATCGTTAATTTTGGACGCGAGGCAGGCCGCCGCCTTGACGGCAGATAATTCAGGGGCACTCGGTACGATGACGGTGCCGCCGAAGATGTCCTGGATGACGCGCACGACGGATGGAATTTTTGCCGATCCTCCTGAATACAGTAATTTTTTAAATCCAGCTTAGATAAATTCACCGATCAGAAGGACATGTTGTAGGTCCGCGGGGACGATCTTTATATCGGCGAGCCTATTCGAGATCTTATCCTTCAGCTTGGCTAGGTCTGCTAAACGAAATTTTTTTTAAATATGTCAAAGTGACCCTACCTCGAATTATATCCTCGAAGATACCACGCGTGATCTCGACATTCATATGATGCCAAGAGAATGCGTTCTCGTGGTGAATATTGGCGAGTCTAACCTTGCAAGACTTGGCTTCCGAAAGTTCTTCTTTCGCTGCGATCGCCGCTTGCTCAACACGCTAAACTTAAATTAATCTTAGAGCATTTTAATTTACCTTTAAGGCGACTGGCTTGTTTTCCAAGGTGATCAGGCTTGACTTGGTGAACTGTTCCAGTAGATACGTTGTGATTCTTTTGTCAAAATTTCTTCCACCGAAAAACAGCACCCGTGCTTGGTCTTGCACCTCCGTTCCTCTGTGATTGTTTTTGAGTATCGTGAGCGTGGTTGTCGAGCCTCCGACGTGGACGACGGCGATCCTGAAATGTAAACTTAGAATCTTCTAGGAATCATTTCGTAGATGCTTAACATAACACGTACATGTTGGGGATCGCGGGTCTTGCGAATTGCTGTAGCATAGCAGCTAGCCGCGACCTCTCGATTGACATATGGACCTTCAGTCCTGCGATCTTCGCGGCTTCTGTAGCAAGCTCCTTCGCACCGGGCGACATCCCGTCCGGCAAGACGAGGATGGCCCTTTGAAATGTCCCGCCGCTCTTCGCTTCTGCGACGGCCTTCAGGTGCTGGTAGAACAACGCTTCGACGCCGTCGGGCGTCGCGCCATCAGTACTCCCGAAGGCAACTTCATCGTCGTGACTTCGGTATACCATCGGGTGATTCGTATGTGTTCTAAAGAAGCTGTATTAAAAACAACAAATGAAACAACCTGTCCAACAAAGAATTTCAATGTGTCATAATTTACCTAATTGTCGTAGCGAGCGTTCCGGAATACTTCAGACCGAGATAGTAACGATGGTGAGCTATCGTCCTTCCAGGATCGGTGATCAGAAATGGGGTAGCTGCGTCTCCAATCTCTCGTGAGCCATCATCATTCAGATGGACAATCGCGCGCATCGATGTGTACTAAAAAGAAAGTTCTGAAAAAAATATTCACAGACCTCGTGTCGTCCTTGTTCTCGGACGGCTGATTTTGACGTGGTGTGCCCTATCTGGAATGCCATTGCCTTCGGGAGGGCGCTCTAAAACGAGGTACATTGTTTGAAATGTTTTTTTTTCACTGTACCTTCGGTATATCATGGTAGATACTTGACAATGTGTTCTCCGACAAAAAGGCAGATCCGCGTCCCTTGCGTAGCTCAACCATCATGGTCTAAAGAAAAACGGTCGAAGAAGTGAGTCGAAAAACGTACCTCCAATCGTGAAACGTCATCAGTCCGGTCGAGCGCCAAGCAGATTGGCATCAGGATGCCAATCTTTTCGATCACCGCTGCTCGCCGTTGATTAGGAGTCGCCATTCGAACTAAAAAAAATTCTGTAAGAAAAACAATCAATACAATCGGTGAGTTTGAGACAGGATTGGGCCCAAAATTCGAATTGCCCTGGAGAGCGACCCTACCGTACTACCCCAGGGGAGCACGAACATTACGCCGGTGACCAAAATACGGAGAGCGTCAAAAGTATTGAAACGGACTGGCGATTCATTTAATTATCGTTGCGCCGAAAGATGCTTAAAAATTGCCTAATCTCGGTAAAATGAATAGTTTTGTACCCTAATTAGGTTTATCAGCTCCGTCCGGCCGGTTTTCTGCGATTTCAGGCACTTTTGAGGGCTACCCGTCTAGTTTTACAAGCAGACTGCCCAAAATCATGAAATCGGCTCACTTTTGAGACAACCACCTTAACCACCCTAGAATGCCGCCAAAAAATATTTTAAATTTTATTTATTAATACCCCCCAATAAGACGTTTCGAGCAATCTTTTTACCTCTCCTGGTTCGTCCGGCAAGAGCCCTCCCACCCGCCCGCATATTGCTTTCCCTTTCGTTGTTCGTCTACATCTCCGCTTGCGTGCCTAAAAACCAAAATTTATTCTGATTCGGGTGAACTACCAATGATATTGGTAGTTTGGTTGGTGCCACTCATTTTCTTTTTTTGAAAACTACTAAAGAAATTGAAAACGCCACAAAATTTGAAATAGTCTATGACAATCTATAGCATCTTCTAGCTTTGAAAACACTGTAGAACAACGAAATCAATGACGAGAAACCAAAAAAAATTTCAAAAAATAACTTGGAAACCCTCGTCAAAAATTTTCAAAAATCATTAAAAAATTGAGAAATCGCCACAAACTTTCAAATTTCCGGGAAAAATTTAAAAGAGGTAGGTCAAGCCTTGCTAAAAACAGGAAACTGGAAAATAAAAATAGAAACGAAGAAACTTTTGAAGCTAGAGAGCAAAGAATATATAGGTTAAACCCGAGAAAACGGACAATTAAGAGCTGTAAAAGTTGTTGTCTGGCTTGCCCAGCAAGTTCAGCAAGTTCTGCGGGGTTCAAAATTTCATGAATAAATTCTCGGGATGATGATCAGTAAAAAAATCTGCTCAGCTCATTCTTAGTTTGGGGAGAGTGAGCCAGGTGGGTGTCGGGGGAGGGTGACGGGGAGGGAGCATGAGGGTCGGTAGGCCTGTGACTTGTTTGCTAGAATTTATATAACTTTTTCTATTAATTTTTTCTGATGATCTGGATTTTTTGAGGGTTAAAGGGACAAAGTACGCAAGTCGAATGTGCATGTTTATCATAGATTTCGGTGAGTATCTGGGCAAATTCGCCTGTTTTTTAAGCTTATCCTCCAAAGTGCCCTAGTATTTGTAAGGAACAGTTTGAATATTACTATAAAGCTGATTAAATCTTTATTTTTTTAAACCTTTATTATTAACTTTAGATATTTACTAATCTCCCCTTATTTCTCGCCCAAAATGGGCTTTTTAAATCCGCGCCGGGGTTTGTCTCCATGGCAACCCCCCAGGGCACCTCAAACCAATTTTACTGCTGCCTCTGTACACATCCTAAATAATCATGCTACCTGTATTTTTTATCTATTTCCTAATATCATTATTAAACGCTGAACTTCAGCTTCCCTGGGATGTCGAAAGGTATCAGCGCTGTACGAAATATAGCTGAAAATTCAGGGACTTCTGGTGCAAGGTGGTTGGTGGTATGCCGTCGGTATTATCTAGTAACTACCAATACGATGGAGATATCGGTGTGGCGAGCATGAGCACGCCGTTGCTGTTCGAGCACGAGATGCCTGAGCCTAGGTATGTCCGCAAATTTATTTACAGGTGTGGCCAAGCTTGATTTTGGGTTTAAGGGCTGTTGATGCTTGGGGCTTGGCTTAAGCAAAAATCCACGTAATAAAAGCGCGTGCGCACGCGTCACGTAAATCGTAAAAAGTCATGCTTATCCTTTAAAATTAGTATCCATTACAGTAGTCCGCTCGGCTGTTCCACAGTTCTATCCTCCCATCAGGGCTGCGCAGCGCTACTCACCGACACGAACTGTGGAGATCCTTTGTAAGAAATTTCGTTTTAGTACGTTTTAGTACACAATTTCTAAATTACAGTATGCCATGGTCAATTGACTTTTGGAAGAACGAAAACAATACAGTGCTGATCTGCAAGAAAGAAGGGAGGAGCTTGCCGTGCGAGCAGTTTGAAAGGAGGTGAGCCTCAGCTTGGTGCTCAAAACATTATTCTAGTCATCTACAAAACGATATTTGCATAAATACGATTGTTCATGTTGAAGTCATGAAAGCTGAAACGACGCTATACTTAATGGATTTAAAGGTATTTACGAAAAAGTACGAAGTCACGCCAACTAAAGCAATTAGCAAAACATCTCTAATCTGCTAACAATTGCTATTCAGCCCCCACTACCTCTTTTCCTCAAACCTTCCGAATCCACAAATAAATGCTATGACCGAGGTGGTAGAATTAAGATTTTAACTCCAGAAGATACAGGTATAATACTTCAACAAATCACTTTAACAAAAATCGATGCCCTTCAGATAATTATAAAGTGACCTGGCGAGAAGAATGTCAAAGGATTTTTCGCACTATTAAATTTGGCGTAAATACCACATCAATTTGTACTCCGCGTCTTGAGGGACAGGTAGGCTTCCCATAATTTGCATACAAAAATTACCCTAATTATACCCTTTTTATGCAGGATTGCCGAACGGCCCAGCGCCAAATCGACGAATTTTGGACGCGATCTTTGACTGGGGATGTTTGTAATTGTGATGATTGCAACGTTCCAATTTTAATGTATGCATCTAAAACAACATTTCTCTGTTTTTAATGTACTAACAAAACACCAAAATAAGAAGGTTTAATTATTTTTTTCAGCCCTCAAAGACGAGTCCCAGATACGGTATCCCAATCCTGCGCGCTACCTTCTCACGCCGTTCTATACCTTGAGCAAAATGATGATAAAGTGCGGGGAGCGTACTTAAAGTAGGATTTATATACCTCCGAACTAAAAAGCGCGTAGATTAAACTTCCGGCAATTTGATTGGGACGGCCGAGGAAGTGTAGAGCTTCAGCTTGATGTCGTTGCCCAAGCGTATGGAGACGGAAATCTACCTAGGTATTGCAATTTTGTACAAAAAAAGATATTGATGTTAAGGTACCTGACAAGCAGCTCGATACTGGATGGAGCTCGGTATAGATTTTCGCAGAATACAGCGTTCTTTTCGATAATTGAGGGATTTGAGGCACAATGTTTTACAGTACTCGGACTCGCGGTTATGATTTACGTATTGTATCGGCTTGATTAGGGGAATCATAGTTCAATGCTGATGCTTGGCTTGGGCTTAGGCATAAACTTAGGCATAGGCTTAGGCTTAGGCTTAGTCCAGGCTTAGGCCAGGCTTAGGCCAGGCTTAGGCCAGGCTTAGGCCAGGCTTAGGCCAGGCTTAGGCCAGGCTTAGGCCAGGCTTAGGCCAGGCTTAGGCCAGGCTTAGGCCAGGCTTAGGCCAGGCTTAGGCCAGGCTTAGGCCAAGCGTAGGCCAGGCTTAGGCCAGGCTTAGGCCAGGCTTAGGCTAGGCTTAGGCCAGGCTTAGGCCAGGTTTAGGCCAGACTTCGGCTTGGGCTTGGGCTTAGGCTTGGGCTAGGCTTAGGCTTGGGCTTGGGCTTAGGTTTATGCTTAGCCTTAGCCTTAGGCTTAGGCTTGGGCTTAGGCTTAGTTCAGCTTTTGCTTAGCTTTTCTTCATAATCTTAGAAAAATTCACTGTTGCATTTCTACGACTTCCAAGACCTTCCCATCTACTGCCCCATATTTTGCTCAAATATATTATTCACTTACTGCACCAAACATGTGTGTCATCAATTCTATACTTTAAGTAATAACCCTGCAAAAAGTGCAATAAATCGTTGACTTATCTCGCCAAGAGTCCACTCCTTTTTCCTTCCAAGCGTTCGCTTTTTTGCTGCTAGTGCTGGAGATCACGTGGGCCTTGTTTGTGGCTATCGGGAAGGCCGTCCCCTGTCTGCGGCTCCAAATTTCCCCTACTCCCTGCCACTCCTTCGGCTTTCCTCTAGGTTTCCGTTTTTTTACCTTCGCCAGCCGCCACCCCCACTTTTTCGCTCCCCGCCCAGCCATCTTCAACTACGACTCGAGCCGGTCCACCTCTACACTCTACTAATTTATGAGAACTGGCAATCCGCGGAAGAGGTAGTTTAAGTTTGCGGATGCTTTTTGGTGCTTTGCGGAGATGCTTTTCGGGAATGTCGTGCTCTTTTGCTTTTTGTGGGGGGTCGACCGGGGGGAATTTCGTGAGTGGGACAGGAAAACGCGCCAAAACCACGTGGTGGAGGGGTACCCTTGACCCGATTGGAATGGATTGAATAACAAAGTGAAATGGAGAAAGTCGCGAGGTTTGGATCTTTTTGAGGGAATTTTGAAAAATGCCCTACAAAACGTTATTATCTGATTCGAATTTCAAGAGATTATTGAGATTGAATTGTCTAAAATTGAACTTTTCTAAAACACTTCTTAATGATTGATCTAAGTTAACAAAACAACTACAATTGTTTTATTAGCTTCATGCTAATTCGAAGATTTTAGCCGAGGGCAGTAAAATTTCCTTAAGTGGTAGTGGCTCTCTAGAAGAAATTTTGAATTAGGTTATATGAATGCAAAAGTGCAAAAAATGGGGCGAACCGAACGAGAGAGAGAGAGAGAGCGATAGAGAGAGTTAGAGAAAACCAGAGATACAGACGGCCAGAGAAAAAGCCAAAATAAAATAGACCCCCCGCCCGTATCGACTTTATATCGTAAAAAAGCGATGTGTTGGCGGTGTTTGAAGCTTCACGCCCACCATCGATACCCCAAATTCCCAACTTTCCGCTTCACTACTAATTCCACCTCACTTTTCCACCATAACCCACTTCCGGGCCACCATATCCCTTTAACGATAATCTTCTTCCCTAACAACAAGATCGATACCTTCGGCCTCCCCCTCCATCCATTCTCCTCCCTTCCGTTTTTGTGTGCTGCTGGCCTGTTTTCGGCGTGCGCGTGTTTTCGCACCCGGCCCGCACTTCCACCAATGATCCAAACCCCTCCATAACTCCCCATGCCCTAAAACTTTACCCCTAAAATTCAAAAAAGTTATTATTATTGCTGACAATTTTTTGGGGTTTATTTCCCTGGAAGTGATGCCTTAAAAATCAATGTGTATTCCAGGAGACACGCTGGCAGGGGGGGCTTTTCAGGCTTTTTCGAATCACTGGGTCAATATGAAGGGCATGGCTATTTTCCGGGGAAAAGCCACGGATATTCTGGGGCCGAGCCGTCGACTCGTTCTCCCATGAGACCGCTTCGCTTTTATGGTCAGGGCGTCACTGTCGTTTTCGGTGTTGTTTTCGGGCTTTTTCGCTGAATATGGTAATAATTGAGTCACGAATTTAGGTGTGACTAATTAACGTTTTCACAGGCTTGCTAGGACCTTTCAAAATGCCCTGAAAATCTAGTTGTTATAATGGGTGAAAATTTTATTTTTATATATTTTAAGAGGCTACTTTTTACTTGCTTAAATCCTGTTGTTATTACCATCTAAAGATATCCGATATTTTTAAGGTCGGTTTAGCGAATTTTGGGACATATTATATCATTTTACCAAGTTCCTAGCCCATTTAAAACCTCCCTAAGAATGTCTGCTAGCTGTTGGACCAACTGTTGAATTCATGCAAATTTACCAGCCCCTTTAAAACGCGATAGATACACTATGTTGTTGCAAAACCGCTTTAAACAGCTCCCCCATAAGTGTCCTGTTCCGCTTAACCTCACTTCGCACCAATACTCCAAATACAAAAAAAAATCAACTACGACTTTCAGGTGTCATACAGTCTCCTCGCTGTCCGGCTCGAGCGCGTCGCTCGGAATGGAGGTGAGCAGATTAGCTTGGGACCACTGAATTTACGTTTTCACGTTCAGGGTCAAAACTGGCATAAATTATTTGTACCCTTCTAGGGGTCCTCCTCGACCGCAATTCCGCCGCCACATCTCAGACCTCTGAACGTCTACTGTCGAAGCGGGGTACGGTAGCTTGGATGTCAGAATGTGGCTTTTTTTAGCCGAGCCATGACGTCGAGGCGCAATTCTCACCGGGATCCAGTACGCCAATACGGTGAGTCAAAATGTTTGAGGTGCAAGCTTAGGCTTAGGCCGCGCTTATGCTTAGGCTTCGGCTTAGGCTTAGGCTTAGGCTTAGGCTTAGGCTTAGGCTTAGGCTTAGGCTTAGGCTCACACCCTGAGCTGGTCAAGGTTCTTTAAAGGGAAACTGACATCAAGAATGCGTCTTAAATATGAAAAAGTCTCGCAAAACCGGAATATTCGTACTATTTACGCCGTTTCTATGCAATTGTGCGCGCGCGTCGGCTTGACCGAATGGTGTTTTCGCGCGGAGGAGCTCGGGTAGCGTTGTTGTCTTGCTGGATGGTGGTGGGGTATGGTGAATCATGGGGTGGACGCCCCGTTTCTCCATCCTACCCCCGCCATGGGGTGTTTTGGTGCACTCTCCGACCTAGTGGCCCCTGGGCCCACCATTTCTTGTTTTGGTTCCGGCTCGAGGCGGCGGCTGACCATGTGAAATCTGCCCTTTTTAAGCAATTTTTCATATATTTCCTTTCTCAGAGAATTTCGTCCGGGTTACGGTAGCGCGATTTGCATCCTGAATCTCATAGGCGGTTAGAATAGTAAGACATGCTTTGACTTAAATAGACTAGAAGGCGATTTTTCGCATTTGATTGTTGCGTTTCAATATGCAAACAACTTTTTGTTGTAATGGCAAGCTCTACCGGGTTACGGTATAGCAAATTTTTCCAAAGGCTCTGTTTTATATTATCTTAAGATACCCACTGGCACAACCCCTTTAAACCGGATAATTTAGCCACTTCGAGGACAAATCTACCTCATATTCCCCTCCCTCATACAAATTTATTACCTCTCGCCCCAAACTCTAGATGACAAATTACCATCCCCACGCGGTTTTCGTAAATTTTCGCGTATTGCAGCTGGCTGGCGCGCGAGACGTGCCATTTAGGAATGAACAAGGGGCGAGAGAGAGAGTGAGATAGAGAGAGAGAGAGAGAGAGAGAGAGAAAGAGATATGTGTGGGTGTCGTTTTGGGCGGGGGTCTTGGGGTCCAGGGCCAAATGGTGCGCTCGCCGTTTTTTTCTATTCGTCGTTGGTGTGCCATACGAATGGGGGGCAGAGGGCGATGGGTCTGCCATTTCACCCCCGTCTACCCCCGAATATCGATTCAAACCGGAGTTTCTGGACGGAATGGTTTTGATTTTTTTTTACAGTAATACGACAACTACCGTAACTACAGTGACCACGTTATATACTCAGTAAGGCTCGATTTTTGCTAAAAAATTGTATAAAACCCTCCCTGTCACGTTTTAAAGGGGTTAGAAAGGCAAAAACGAATCCGGTTTTTACTGTTTATGGCATGAAATGTGATTTCCAAAGCGTTTGACATTTTGCCAAAACTCGAAAAAATGGGATTATACGCGAAAACTCAATTTTTACACTAATTTGCTTACTCAAATTCAATTTATATCCTTGTATCCTCTTCAATCCATTTTTCGATATTTTTCTTCGATATTGTCGGAGTAGCTTTAATTCAGTGCCATCTTCATACCCACCATATCACCAATGCCGTTCCAACACGGCTTTCGAAGGTAAAAAACTTTCAGAAAAATCCCTAGCTTCCCGACCCGATTTGCACCCATTTTCCTCGGGATCCCTATTTCCGACTGGCCGCCCCTCAAAAACAAGCTACAAATCGGGCAAAATCTCCTACCGAAGAAGCCACCTAATTACCCGATATTCACTAGTCACACAAATTCCAATGATGTAAAGTCGTATCCCGCGCCTCGTGAGCGTGGGAAAAATAAGAGAGGCTTTTTGGGGGGTGGGGAGGCCAAGGTTGGGCCGGTGACTGACCGGTGGGTGTTGTTATGGGTAACGGACGGGATGGTGGGTGGAATCGAGACAAGTAGAAGTATTAGAAAAAATGGGGAGAATTCAGGAAAAGAATGGGGAACGCCCCCAAACGGCACCGGGGGAGAGAGCCGCTGTTCTCCTGGGTTTTAATAATTCTAATCTTGCCTCTGGCACGTCGTCCGCAAATCCCATTGTTGGCCACGGGGTTTTTCGATGCAAAAAAATTGGCTTAGAGCTAGAATTAGAGCTAGATATTCAGATTTCTCGTGTTCAAAACGTTTTAGATTAAGGGGAAGCCCAGAGGCTTGAGCAATTTCTGCTTTTAATCGATGACGAGCTTTTCAAGACGTTCAAGCTGCCCTTCGGTAGCGTAGAAAATTGCTTAAGACATCCATAAATTCGTAGATTTTTAGTTATTGGTCCAAAGCCTTTAGATTATCCCTTAAATTAACAAACTATTGTTAATTATATATTTTATGAATCCTGATTTCAGACACTTCTTCGACAACCCGTTCGCCCGGCCCCGGATACGCCAGCAGAGCTTGAATCTAGACGAAGGTTGGCGAGAGTTCTTTTTTGTTGCAAAAGATCCCCTTCCTCAACCGCCCAATCACCATAATTAGGCGCACGCGTGTCTCGTCACAATTTGGCGGCGAGCTGATCGCGGGGTGCGTTATAGTAGTCACATGCGATTTTTGGGGGCCGCCGGACGTGCGGAATTTAAAATCAGTAGTTTGGGGTTGGCTGAATCCATTTTTGTACGGATTTCGGGATTTTACAGTACGCTCTAGGCAAATTCATATGATTACTCCAATTTTAAAATTTAAAATTAAAAATTATTTTGACCATCTTGCTTTTACGCCACCTCTTAGCCTTCCATCGTTTAGCCCTTCGCCCCCTCCTACTTGATTTTCTAGCCATCATTCTCTCAATGTTTCCTAAATTTCCACCACAATATGCGCGGCTCGCCATTTCTACCCCTCTCATCAAAAGCCAGATGGTCGCCCCGACGGCACTCAATTCCTTTTCCTCTGTTTTTCATGCCCCACCCTCACAGCAACATCGTGCATAATTTGCGATCCTCGAAACGTCCCCCCACACCCAAACCGTTTTTTTTGAGCCATCCAAAAGAAGGGATCGCCAAATCTGGACTTGACATCCCGCCTCTTGAAAATGCAATTCTCAGGTCATGCGCCTGTCCCCATGGGCTGAATAGAAAAACTTCCTGGTTAGCTCCCCGGCGTGTTGCCCTTTTGAAGCTCTAAAGACGGGGCGAATGCTGTTTCCGGTGTTCCCAAGGGGCGCACAAGTGCAAAGATTGTTTGAGTGGGGCGGTAGCTTTATTTTTGGCGAGGCTAGGGTTTTGTGTCGGGGTCTAGGTTTCGATTGGGTTTTGATGACGCAGTTACCGCAACCTAATTATTAAAAAAAAGGCGTGGGCAATGCGGGGGTCTCCGAAACAGGCTTCAAACCTAGGGATTTCTGAGAAAAATTTAGGGTTTCGGAAACGCTTGGCATTTCGGTTTCGGTTTCTCTATTACTAGGTCACTCTTTAGCTCGTTCTCCTCCTCACACGCTCACACTATAACTTTTTCTCTTTCCTTCGCGCTCTCTCTCTCGCTGTCTCTCGTGTGTGCTCGTGCTCTCTTATGCCATAGCTGTTCCTAGATCTGATTCTCTCTCCCTCTGTCTGGTTCTCTCTCTCTCGCTCTCTCCCCTTCTCTGTCTCTCTCTGTCTCTCGCTCTCGCTCTCTCTCTCTCTCTCTCTCTCTCTCGATTTATAAGATCTTGAGCAAATTTAAAACGTAAGACCTTCTAACTCTTTCCAAAATCTAATTCAATCTCCTAAATCACCCTCTAAATTTTCGGGTCTAAATTTACTCCCCTCGGAAATTCCACTTGCTGATGTGCATCTGCAATGGAATAATTTGAAAGCGAGCGCGGCCCAGAGTGGTGGCCCCGAGAGCGATGGATGAGCCCTCGTCCATCTGACCGGAACCACCATGGGATGCTCATCTCCTTCTTTTTCTACATGGCCCCAGGGCACTCGACTGCCCCCTTTTTCAATGGCTTCACCCTCATTTTCCCCCCATCCAGCCAGTCCTCCCATTTTTTGAGGGGCCAGGGCCATTCCTTTCTAGGGCTCCCCAAACCATCCTATCTAATTAACTACGCGCCTATTACGCTGTGTTTCCCGGGGCGAACCCTTATTTTGGGGCTCCAAATTGGGGAGGGTTGGGCCGTTTTTTGGGTAGCATCATGGCTTTTAGCGGTTCAGCTTTTGCATGGTCAGCATTTGGGAGTGGAACGGTAGTGATAAGGGCTGCTTCCAGCCATTTGCACCTAGTTTTCCGATGTTTTTCAGAACCGGGATTTTAAAGGGACGCTAAAGGAAAAATTCTAATCAGAATAAAATCCTGCCTATATTTCGACCTAATCTCGCGACTACGTAACAATCCGCTTGCCCCCCACGCATTTTGGACAAAAATAGCCGTCCTGCCCTTCAGCGCCTCGAGTTTAATCCATTATTTTTGACGGTGCCACTTGTGAAGATATGAATTTTTCACATTTAGGTAGTATAGTGTTTTTTATTTACATAAAAATTAATATATGGATATTTTTCAGATCTCGGCTACCCGCCCGCCTACAATCAAGGGCCACCGCCGGAAGTGGCAGCCGCTTCGGCCCGTTCCTTGCCCTCCCCAACAAATCTCAGGTTTTCTAGAATTATATTTAGCTAATTATCGCGTTTCATGCAAATGTAACGTTAAATTTAAAGCTTTAGAAGTGCTTTAAAGGGAGAGTGACAGTACGGTATTCACTAGAAACACTAAGAAAATCCAAATCACGAGAAAATCGTCATAATTTAGGGACTCTGCGTTCTTGCCGTAAGTTAATAGCTTCGAATTAGCAATAGAATTTAAATATAGTTTTGTTATGCTAGTTTAATTCCAAAATAGTTTTGCTTAAAAAATCACCAGTTTCGCCACATATCTAAATTTGAATTTTTCAGGGAGCGCTTCCGGCACCGCAGCCACTCGGACGCGGAGCACATGATAGCAAATAAGTGAGCAATTTTCGCTTATCTTAGTCGTAAAATAGAACTACAGTAACCCAACCATTTCAGTGGAC